AATTTCCATTGAAATTTAGAATTATATAATGACGCTAAATTATCTATTTCCGATTGAAACGGTATGTATGTATGTATGTATGTGGAGCTACAACATAATCTTTGATTTCAATTTTGTGACAACGTCTCCCTAACTTTATACAAACTCCCCAATACATACTGTATTATATTCCGCCTTTTCAGAACAATAAAAGAATGAATTTTATGCGTGTATATTTAAATTATGTAAAAAAATTTCAAAATTTATTCTAAATTTGAAAAAAAATATAAAATACTGTTTTGAACTATTTAATAAACAGTTCCGGAAATGCCGGGACCATATTGGTAACCAGCAGCACCGGCAACAGGTGGAACATATCCGGGTGTACCCAAAGCTCCCAAACCACCACCAATAATGCTACTGCCATAATTGCTGGAATAGTAGCTTGATGGATAATTACCATAGCCGGCGTAACTGCCATAACCGCCATAACCAGGACGAGCATAAGGATAAGCACCGCGATTGTAGGAGTTGTAAGGATATGAATTGTAGCCACCAGTGTAAGCTCCATAACCACCATATCCACCATATCCACCATAACCAGCATAACCGCCATAGCCTCCAGTATAACCGTTATAGCCAGGATAACCAGCATAACCATCTGTTGAATTAAGTTAAGTATTTAATTTATTGTTTTCAATTGAGGTATATCATACTTTAAAAACGGAAAATAAAAGTTTTTGAAAATCTAAAATTTGATATTAAAATTCAAAATCTCTGCTAAAGAATTGAAAAGTGTTAAGAAATGCTACTTCTTAAGTATAAACCTCTTGAATAGTTCAAAAACCGTTCACACTTACCTAAACCTAATCTCGATTGGTAAGGATTATAGTAACCGCTACCATAGCCAAGAGTATCTAAACCAGTGCCATATGCACCAACACCAGCGTAACCACCGACATAACGTTTTTCCTGATGTTTTTCTTGCCATGGACTTAGACTACTTGCTGATCCCGATAATTCCTGTGTATTTTCGGAATTTTCTGATGCCGAAGCTACTAAGTCCTCATCAGCTCTTGCAACGATGGCAAGAGCAAAAACAAATACGCAAATGGTCTAGAATAATTTAATTTCATTTTTATTATATTAATTTTTCACTAATATTTTATTAAGTCTGTTTTATTTGATCATTTAATCCTTTTTGAGAGCACTTACAAAACACTTCATGTTGGTAATACTTATTCGAACACGGTTTTTATCGGATTATGTTTTAGATACTGCGAACAATTAACGCTAAAACTACTAGACAGCTACTAATGCTCAATTCATGAGAGTTTTTAGCTTTTATACTGATTTTAAACTGTGACTAAGTACTATGTTTATTTAAGAAGCATTGTTTTTTTAAACAAAATTTTAGAGTTTTTTGTCTATTACTTAGCGCATGTGTACAACAATGCCCATTCAAAAAATATACAGAATCTACAAGTATTTAGATATTATATTTATTTATAGTTGTGGTAATTGATGTCTCTACTTTAAAGAAATCAAAAATATCATGTAACTTGTGAAAGTGTTACAAAATTTTCATAATTTGTTACCAAAATTTAAAATATTTCCGAGTTGCCATTGCTATGTGAAACTCTCTTTTATTTTAACATTTTAATACCAATAATTTCATATCCTTATTATGTATATTAGGGTGTTTGGAAAAGAAATTTTGTACTGATGTTCCCACCGAAAATTTAACTTTAGTTCCTTTTCAATCTGAAACACATTTCCCAATTTTTTTTTGTCTTGGTGTCATTGCATAGTTTGTATAAGTATAACAGTTAATTTAATTACATTTAGTGTTGAGGCCCATTCACATTTCTGTGAATGACGTTAGGAATATTTCCAGGTGTCCAAACTTAAGAGCGGGTAAAACACTTTAGAAGTACATTGGAATCGCAACAATGTTCCACAGAATGGATTCCAAAATAAAAGGCGATAGAAGGCGAAGAATCCATTTTGCTATTTTCACCCGTTTTAGAACTTCAAAATAAATCACAAAAATTTATTCAATAAATATTATGATATAACTGCCCGTCTACCTAAGAAAATAGTTTTTGAGAAACTTTAGAGAAACTGCTGGTCCACACTAGGAAACTATTTTTGGGAAACTTTTGATTTTGCGTGAGAGAGAAAGAGAAAGAAATATCATTCATCTAGTGCCCGTCGACACTAGGAAACTTTTTTCTGGGAAACTTTTGATTTTGTGTGAGAGAAAGAAATATCATTCATCTTCCTCTCGGTACGGAGTTTCTCGTACTCGGAAACTTGTTTTGTTATTCTTTTCTTTCGTACAAAACCAAATCAATGCAATTGATACGTAGTTTCTGAAACAAAAGTTTCTATGCGTAGGTTTTTGAGGCAGTCGGCCATTTGACCGACTCACTTGGGTCGTAATGGTCCCGTTGTGATACCCTATAGCGGATCCTGCAAAGAGAAAACCAACCTATGGGACATTACCTGTCCGTCTTTAACATGGTGTTAAACCAACGAGAGGCACGAATATATTTGTCTATATTAGATAGAGCCGCAAGTTCATGCAATATTGGACTGCCTAGAAACTCAGTCACTCACTTTGACAGCTCCTGCAATAATCATTGTATGGAAGATTTAGTCTTCTTGCATGCGCACCCATAGTACAGTGCCCTGTTAGGATGGCTACCATACGTAGTCTCATCCTTGGAAGCCCCATTAGACAGAAAGACCTTCGCTCATCATAGAGAGGCCAGGTCATTCTTGATGTAGAGCAATAGGTCAGTGATGACCATCTGGTCTGAGCAGACCCATAGAGTTCATGCTGAATAAAGGCCTTACAGCATGAAAGGGGAACACCGACTAGTGTGTCAGTGTCCCCTATGTGAAGGCGGGAACCAGTTTTTGCCAGTTCGTCCGCTTTTCTATTTCCGGGAATATTAGCATGACCCGGTACCCAGAGTAGTTCCAGGCACGAATGGTTTGCCATCTCGTCAAGAGACACCCGACATTCGCGAACCAGTCTGGATGTCGTGTAGACACCAGATAGAGACTTTATAGCAGGTTTACTGTCAGTACAAATTCGGATATTAACATTGCATATCCTATAGTACCTCATCCAGTTAACCGCTCTTTTTATAGCTGAGATTTCAGCCTGTAAGACGCTGCAGTTATCGTTCAGCTTAAAACATACCGCTTTATTTAAGCGGGTAATAAAGAAACCACCACCCACGCCTGTAGTGGACTTAGATCCATCAGTAAAGATGTCAAGTGTTTCACCTTCTGAGAAGGATGGTACATTTGACATCCTAACTGTGAATCTTTTGTCCGGAAGTAGCGTGGGAGAGCAGTAATCTATATTTTCGGGGATGTAAGTCGTACTCCCCAGGATAGAAGCATGACCATGTCGGTTTGGCTTCCATATTCCGGCAGCATGAAGTCTGACTGCCGAGTTTAATGCCAGTTGCCTGGCCATCAGATCGGCAGGCAACCAGTGCATAAGTGTGAACAACGCCTGTGATGGCGTACTTCTAATCGCATCAGTGATCATTAGTGCAGAAGCTCGCATTATTCCTTCAGTATGATTGCAGTAGGTGGATTTTCCAAAGCTTTCCACCAGACAAGCGCTCCATACATCAGAATAGGCTTTATAACCATGTCCAGTATTGGGACTAATTCCCCAGTTCTTACCAATGGCCTTCCTACATGCGTACAACGCGATAGATGCCTTAGAGGCTCTCGCTTTGATGTTCAGATTCCATAGTAGTTTAGAATCAAGAATGATATCTAAGTATTTTGCACTGTCAGAGAGTTTATGCTCTACCCCATTCAGACGAGGAAGAGGAAAGGAGGGAATCTTGTATCTATTCGAGAATAGAAATGCGTAGAAATTAAGTAAACTTCTAAAGAGAATTAAGAAAAAGTTTTTTCAACAAAAGTTTCCTTTTGAAAAAATATGAAAAAAATCATAAAAATCTCAAAAAAGGACCTTTTTATCCTTTATTCCAGCTTACCAAATATTGACGCCAGGACAAAAATTTTGATAAATGGTATCTTAGAATCAATTAAACTTTAATTTTAGTTGGGAACATTAACTGTTTCCTCATACAAACGGGGCCACCCTAATGTACATACATATATCAGTATCTCGAACCCTGTTTGTTAAACCTCATGTTTAACAGACTTCAATATTAACTACATATCTACCGGAGGCCACTTAATGCTGTAAAATTTAAATCTTTTTAGAACAAAGTTTTCAGCTCGACTTATAGCGTTCATAAAATGAGCCAATTGAGCATGAAATGAACTGATATCAGATTCCTTAAATTAAAAAATTGTGTTATTCTAACTTGTAGTTCAATTATTAATTACATTACATATAGCTGACGTTTTTCAAGATTTAAGTTCATAATAAAACCTACATACAATTTTGACATGAACTTTATAAACTTGATTGTTTAAACTGACTTTTGGTGGTCAACATTTTCGTTATTATCGGACAATAGAAAATAAACAAACAAACAAAACCATAAAAAAACATAACAGTAACAAACTACAAATAACAATGGCGGTCTTTTTTTTACAAACAAAAATAAACAATATTAAATTTCCAAGAGTCAAATACATACAAATATTTATATTTGTGCGTAAATTTTCTTAACTGCAAATTTAATTATGAAGAAACAAATTATTAGGTATTTGCGAATATTATTTAGCAATTATGTGTTGATGAAAAATTTAGTACAAAAATGTCATATAGTATGAGTTGCTATATTTAAAATAAATAGAAAAAAATTGTGTTAAATTGACTCGATATAAACTCGGCTCAATGACCGCGTTTTGTTCACACAGCCTCCATTGTAAAAAGAGTTTAAAGTACCGACTGATTTGAAATGTTTCTATCTAAGCGGGAAGGTTTCCTTTCTAATTTAACATTATTTATTGAACTTTTCTAAGACCCAAATGGCATGGATATGTACATACATATATGTATTGTATGAATATGTCAAATATGAATTAATATTAGAAGAATTTTCGGCATTAAAACACAACAAAATCGTTGCATAAATATGTAGCTGAATGAATAAAATCGACTTTTAATATTCAGAGCTATTTAAGAGCTCTTTAGGTGATGATGAACAGCTCTCGATATTAAACCTTATATTTTACTGAGGTTACTTCTTCTGAATGTTTCTTTGGACCAATCAATTTACACACCAACATAAATATTGTACAAATATATAGTTATTTTCACATCAATTGTTAACAAAGAATAACTTGTTAGAAAAATTTATATTTTAAACGCCCTTTACGTTAGTTTTGAAGTTGATTTTTACAATAAAAAAATAAATAAACTATGTACATGTTTTTGGCGTTACTTAAACAAAAATACTTCCAAAGTAATTGTCATACAGTAAAATCGTTTGTATTAAACAAAGTTATAATCAACAGGCTGATTTAAAATGAACTATAATTTAGGTTAAACGTACATACAATTTTCTTTAACAAAAATCCACGAAAAGGTGTTAATTTTACGAACCCCTGAAATTAAAATTAAATATTCATTTTAAATGAGACAATTTGTGTGTTTTTTGTGGGATTTAAATGTTTAAACGCATAAATATTGATGTCATTATTTAAGTAAATTATTTTATTGCAAATTTTAATGACATCCATTTTGAACTAAATTTTTATCAGATCTATTTAATATGAATCGTACGTGTTACGTTATTTGTTTACACTCTATAATTGAAATGCTGTTGTAAACTATATAGTAAAAATACTTCCGCTAGAAGTTGAAGATATATTGAGAAACAATTTAAATGTTGGAAAGTACTAATATAGAATCTCCTGAATAAATTTGAAACCGATATCACAAAATACTAAAAATGTCAGTAAAGTTCGTAAAAAAATAGGTTCAATATATAAAACAAAAACGTTTAACATCCTTTTAACTTATAAATTAATTTCATCATAGCTGCATAATATAACCGAAACTCTATGGGTTATCTTGCCTTGTAAATAATTTGTCGCATTGTAATATAAACGTTAATTGTAAAGGTCTGAAAACCACTCCTTTTAAGAAAACCCGCACGATCTAAATAAGATGAAGCTTTTTTATTAAACGTTTTATGAATGTTTCTTTACGACAATTTTATTGTCGTTAATCATAAATACTGTCATGTAAATCATGACAGTATTTATGAATCTAAGGGCGAGTTTTTCTGATAAAGATAATCTTCATTCTTTGGTTAAACCTGGTTTATTATATGTTTCGTGTTTTTCAGTTATCAGTAAAGTTACATATTATCTTAGTTTAACTGAGTGTAATT